TAAAGATCAAGTCCAGGTAATATGCCATCTTAGTGTGAGGAGAAACACAGCACAAAAGAAACAAGAATGTGCTACTTAAAGAGGTTTTAGTGTGTAAAGAGGGCTGTGCTCAGTTGTGTCAAGTGCTGCTAAGAGGCCAAAAGAATTTGGCAACGCAGATGACAGAAACCAAAATGGCCGAAGATGGTCAAAGGGTAGAAGTGATGGGGAAAGGCAGCTCTCGGGACCTAACGTCCAGCACGGCAATTCTAGCTAGTAAGACCACAATACTGTGCAAATAGTGAAGTTCTCATTACAAGAAGAAGGTCTTAACTGTAGAGATGGTGAAGTTATGTAGGTAATCATTTTGCACTATGTTCAAATATCCAACTATTGTCATATACCTTAAACATATAGAATATTATATGCCAATTATAGCTTAATAAAACTTGAAAAGACAAGCCAGATTGGAGTCTGTTATGAATAGGTGGGAAGAAAGTACAGACAATATGAAAATAACTTTGATAAGTTTTATTGTGACAAGGCAGCTTTAGGGGTCAGGGGTTATGGGGTGGGAGTAATTACAGAAACAAATCCTTGCGTTAGCTTTTATACTTTATTGAAATTAATCAAAGTATCATTTTTCCCAATCTTATAAATTCTTTGAGAGAAGAACTATTTTCTAACACCTTTTTGTATAAGTTCTCGGGAAATGTAGACTAGCAAAAACCTGAACACCTAAGTCCTTGTTCAAGAGATGTGGAAAGCACAGAATTTGGAATCAAACAGATCCAATTAAATGCCAATTTTTGTGGCGCATTATGCTACCTCTAAGGATTCATTTGGACCAAGGCAAATGGAAGTTGCGGTAAATGGAAGTTTCCACGTTGGGAGATGTTTGCAGCCACCGACCCACTCGAGGGCTCTCCCGCAAGGCCTGACTGTCCTGCTTACAGCGCCGCCCCTACTGCGCCCGTGTCCCTCTCAGGCTATATTCTCTCTCTTATGTTTCATAGTAAATGTTTTGCTGCGCATTGCCTATCTGCCACCCTCTACAACATAAGGCTTTATTAGGAAAAACATCAATTTTTTTTACTAACAAGGTGCTTCTAGAGAAATTATATTTCAGAAATTCAGGTTTCATATAGGCACAAAATATTTACTTTGCTGGAATGCTGCGAGAATGAAGAGAAACTGCAAGTAGTTGTTACTTGGTAGAGATGGACCCAAGGAGGGTGCTTAAATGATGCTCGATGTTACCAAAATTATTTGAATGGCAAGTGACTATACAAACATGCAGCTCATGTATGAGGGAACTGAAGTTATTTAACAGTGTGTCACCACTAACCAACTGGCGTGTCAAAATGACACAAAGCAGAAGTATTCACAGCAGGCAATGGTATGGAAAGACTTGTCTAGAAAAATGGACTATGGTTTTATATTTAATTTGAATTCTAATTTCAGTTATAATTAATGGAAACGCCACCACAGAGGAGGAAAACACAGGTCATTTTAGGGATGCTGTGAGAATTAAACAAGAAGCTGCATGTAGTTGCTGACTGGTAGTGTCTGACTGAAAGAAGGTGCTAAATGTTGTTCAATGAATTAGAAACAGAATGAAAAATTTTTATTCATTCAGGGTTAGTCTATTAATAATTTAAATTGTCTGGCTTGCTTCTACTGGATTTTCTGATTTTGCTTGACAAATGATTCCCTACATTTGTCATTGGTCCACTAAAGATATATAAAACCAGACAGATAAACCCTCCTGTCGGTGGCTTCCCATATGGAAACACTAGTTTTATTAGTAATTGCTCGAAACTGGCAGCAACCAAAATGACCACCAATGTGGCGAGAGGCTACTACCTTGGATGATCCCATTGCTGACCTCACTTGGGTTTTAGTTCCAGTATCATCACCTCTAAAGCCAGGCAAGGTATCTCTCTGCCCCAGCACAGAACTGGCAGGGGGAAGCACATATCACATTACCTCAAATTATTTTTCTTAGTTTTTTCTAACACGATAGCCATGAAAATAAGTATTTTTTTAATATCATCTCTTGCAAAAACTGCATTGCACAAAGTATGCAGTCAATAATAACACAGGATACATAAATGCAAATTTTAAAAATCTTCAACTATGTCTTTTAAGATACTAAACTTCTAAGTGGACAGAAATATCATCTCAAATGACTCACTGCTGGCATGGGGAAAGCTTGTGTATTAAAGCTACTTCCTTCAGGAAGCCTTCCCTGACACACCAAGTCTAAGCCAAGTGCCTCTCATATGTTTTCTTAGCATCTAGTGCTTTCCATCATAACCCTTATTATGTTGTAGTTATTTGTATGTTTTATTGAACTATCTCTACAGGAATAAACAAATATATGAACTGTCTGAATACCTTTTCCACAGTTGATAAATTCACTTTTCCAAACTAAAACATGGAAAAACTAGGACATTTTTAAAGCCCAGTAACCTGGAGGTCATATTATGCAAGACACACTGTGGCCACCGACGAAAGGCCCCACTTGGTTTATGAGGCATCGTCCAGTGCTTCCGCGGGGATCTGGGCAAGGGTTCATTGGGTGCAGGATGGACTGGGAGGACTCCGGACTAACTCCATTTGGAACTTCTAATCTCTGCCTCACCCCCAGAATGACAACACAATGCAGCCCTCTCTGACATAAGCTCGTAACCCGCTTGCCACATAATCAGCATCCAACCCTCTCCTAGCAGCGGTCCAGGGATAACACTGCCTTCAATGTAAAAATGTGCCATTTGCAGCCACTACTTCTACCCATCACCGGCACAGCCTGAGCTGAAAGGAAATCACCGGTCTCATTACCCAGCTTACTCCTTCACAACAATCGGTGAAAATGTTGGATTATTATGAGGTTTTAGGAGTGCAGAGATATGCTTCGCCGGAGGACATTAAAAAGGCTTATCATAAAGTGGCACTTAAATGGCATCCTGATAAAAACCCGGAAAATAAAGAAGAAGCTGAGAAAAAATTCAAGGAAGTAGCAGAGGCATATGAGGTATTATCAAATGATGAGAAACGGGACATTTATGATAAATATGGCAAAGAAGGATTAAACGGTGGAGGTGAAAGTCATTCTGATGATTCTTTTGAGTATGACTTCACATTCCGTAAGCGAGATGCTATCTTCAAAGAACTTTTTGGTGAAAGGGATCCATTTTCATTTCAATTCTTTGAAGACTCCCTTGAGGAACTTTTAAATAGTGTAAGAAGCTCATATGGAAGCAGAAACAGAAGTACAAGATCCTTTTTCTCTACCTCCAGTGAATATCCAGTTTTTGAGAGGTTTTCTTCATACGATATGGGATATACACCATGTAGTTCCCTGGGCCATGAGGGCCTTCATTCATTCTGTTCCCCATCAGTCAGTGGGATGGATGACTATGTATCTTTATCTGAAGTTACAACCTCGGGTAAAATTATTAATGGCAGAAATGCCAACTTTGAAAATGATCAGGAGATAGAAACTGAAGATGATGGCGAGCTGAAGTCCTTCCTTATAAATGGTGTGGCAGATGAAGAGGGCTTTGCAGAAGAAAGCAGCTGGGGACGACACGCATTCCACACTTACCCACCACACTGCTGCTGCCCCAGACATGTATCTCAATGCCCTTTTGCGGACAATGGTGTGCAAGGTATACCTTTGGTCACCAGCAACTGGGATCCCTTTATTTTCCCCGCAGGATTCAAAGAAGGTGGTAAGAGGAGAAAAAAAAAGCACAAAGAGGTACACAAGAAGTCGTCAAACAAAAGGAATCGTTAAATTGACTCTTTAGACACATTATATAAAATTTGAACATGACTCTTTGTGTGTTTTGGTTAATCACAGAGTTTTGTAAATAATACTTGTTCAATTCTACACTAAGATTATATTTTTAACATTTTTAGCAGCATTGTAGACATTTGCTGATTGGCTGCTTGGACTAAGTAGGTCAGAAAAAGATGAGTTCATGGTGGTTATGATGGGAACAGATTTTTAAACTTTGTTTCTGAACTAACGGTTTGCATATCCTAGAATTTTTCTTTAGTCGAGTTTGTGATCTATTTCATTCTTTTATCTAATTAAAAGTATTCTTAACTTCTGAGATAGTGTAGTATTGGGAGATAAAAATGCATTAATATACAGGTTCAGATTTGTAATTCATGAATGAATGACTTTTTTTTTCAAAAGAGGCATTTGACATATAACTTAAAGTACAATAAATTAAAAGTATAAAATATTTTATGTTAAAAACAGCCATACTTATAGGTGCATGCCCAACTCACAGCTGCATTCATTCACAAAAGTTAAGAGATGGAACCAACCCAAATGTCTATAGACAAATGAATAAACAAAACAGTTATACATCCAGGCAAACATGTATGTGTATGTATGTATATATACACATAAATAAATCACACATATATAAATGCTTAAGTTTTAAAAAGGAATTCCTGTTAATGCTATGTATGGATGAACCTTGAAACATGTTGTGTGGTAATAAGCAAAAAATAAAACAAGAGGTATTCTGTGATTCCACTAACAGTGCCACTAGAGCATTCAAATTCATAGAAACAGAAAGTAGTATTGTTATGAACAGGAACTGGGGGAGAGGGGAAAGAGAGTTAGTGGATATAGCTTCAGAGTTTACAAGATAAAAAAAATTTGGACTTCTGTTTCACAACTGCTACTTAAAAAATATTTAATACACAAATTTTGTTATCACATGTAGCACAATTAAAAGTCAGATTTAACCCTGGATTCCTCAGAGCAGAATGGCTATATATGTGGTAGGTCACATGTAACATATTAACATCAGATGTTAAGCAAGTGGTTTGAACCGTTTATATCCATATGCTTCTTTTAAATAAAAATTGGTTTAATCTCACCAATTATTTACTTCCTAATTATTACTGTATCTGGGTACAGTAATGAATAATCAGCTCTTATATAACTTACAAAGTTAGAGATACAATATAAACAAATATTAAAATACAATCTGTTAGGTCTCAGGGGAAAATATCAAGTAGGGGAAGAGGAATAGAAGTTTTGGAATGAGTGTTGAAATTCTAGCAAATGTAGCTAGGAAAAGTGATGGCTAAATTTGAGTAGCCACCTACTAAGGGTACTAAGTGAGTCAGTGCTGTGCACAGTTAGTGAAAGTCCAGGCAGAAGGGACAGCAAGTGTGACGACCCTACAGCAAGAAGGTAATAGGCACTCAATGAACACGGAGGTCAGTGTGCCTGACTGAGACTAAACAGATAAAGAATAATGCTAAAAGGAGGTCAGATTATGCAGAAAGTGTTACATCACAGCACAGACTCTGCAATATGTAGGACAGGAAGTCCCTGGAGTTTTTTTTAGCAAGAATGAAACAGCTGACATATTTAAACAAGCCCACTCTGGCTGCTGTCACTGAAAAGAGTTGAATAAATTAAATTCATCTCTAGGCGAGAATGTAGTAGCTTGGTCCATGGTGGTAGTGACTGGTGGAATTCTTGATGCATTCTAAAGGGCCAGAGTTTTCTGTTTGACTGGGGTTTGGAGAAGGACTCAAAGATAACAAAGAACATGAGCTTAGCAACAAAAGAGAAGTGCCATTATCTCAGGGTTGCAGGAATTAAATACTGGGTGTGCTACATTTGAGATGTTGGATTAACTGAACAAGTAAAAACAATTTCCTATGGTTTTATAACAAAGGCCAGAAAGCATGCCTTGCATCCTACATGTTTCCTGCCATTGATTTTTTTCAGCAAAAATATCTACTGATCATATTCTTTCAGTCTTTTATCTCTTAAATGTCATTGCTATAAATGATGAAATGACTTAAAGATGGGAACAAATAATCGAACAGCATTAAGGCCCAATAACCTTTGACAAAATAAAGTTCAATGGTATTTAGCACTGCTTTTCTGGTTTGGAAACCAGGAAAAAACAACAACAATATCTGTCTTAAAACACTACTATAGTAAAGTACAAGCTTTTATTTTGTTATTTGATTCTTTATGGGGAGGAAAGGTAATTTAAGGGAGAGGGACTGGGGATAACTTAAAACTTTATTTTCAGGGGAAAAAACTACAAAAGCGTATTTTAAAAGCTACTTATATAAAAGCTGTATTAGTAGTTTATCTGTTATCATATACATAGAACTAGGCAGAGTTAAAAAAAATCCAGTTTCCTATAAACAGAAGAAAAACCTGGAGTCTGAAAATTTAAGAATGCAGTGAGAAACTCTCCATTTCACTTTCCCATACTTAGCGGATATTTACATTCAGATTTAGTCTTACTTAAGTAACTATCATTACTTTTAAAAAATAATATAATAGTTTATTTTTACATCATTTTGTGCCTTTTTCCATCTCAGATATAATCCCCGTGGGCTTCCCATCACCATAGACTTTCATTACTTTTTGAAGTAATAAAAGGTTCTCCATGAGCCAGCCACTTGCTTTTCTTATCAACTTGGTTTTCTTATCACCTCTTCTTACAAATTTTAGGTTGGAGTCCAGCTCTTCCCAAAATGTACTCCAAGGGCTATTAGTTCAAGGCTCACCACAGAAAATGTGATCCATGGTCAAACACATTTTGCTTTTTACTGCCAAATATATTTTTCTCAGAGACTGAGAACTATAAAGTGCAGCATTTTCCATACTTATCTGACCACAGAACACTTTGGTATAACATCTGTGATGTCCAGAACCTGTTAACAATAAATTTCTTCCTATGTGTCCTTAGTGCCAGTCAATCTGTTCAGAGTTATGTGCCTCTGTATAGGGTCCCTCTGCCAGGATGGCTCCGTAACTCTCTGGTCGCGTGGCTTGGTGAAAGCTGTTTTCCAAGTCTCAGATCAGACACCTGCTAGTCTGTGGAGGCTCTCACTGCACACTCCTCTGCCTCTCTGCTCCCACCTCTCCCTTATCCCCACCACCGGGCCCCTACTACTAAATTCACTATGTTATATTAAAATAACTTGCTTTTTTTAAGTGTTCCCTTACAGTAAAAGCCTTTTGTGCCTAGTGCTCATATTTGGTGTTCACTTAATGTTTGTTGAATGAACTGCACACAGGATTTTAAAAAATTATCCGTTAGTACTTTCCATATTCCCTTCTCTCTCTCGGACTTGAATTTCTCTCAAGAGAGTCAGTCTTTCAAAGCACGACCTATGCGTTTTACCTTGCTTGCTTTCAGATGACTAGAAAGTGTTAACTGTATATGCCACTAACGCAATTTTATCTTTCATTAAGCTAACCTTTAGCTTTCATTTTGGGAATGCATGACTTTCACAGACAAGAAAGCTGCTGTGGTACTCGATACTCTTGAATTTGGAGCCTTTGTTTGAAGGTGGCCGCCAAGCGCAGCGCGACATTCCCTGCTCCATCGTCACTTGTGTCAAGGCTCTCCTGCCATCCTTTGCTGTGCTCTCACTTACTGCTACTTGTCTCTCACCCTAAATAGACCGAGCAATTGCAGGGTAGCAGATGTTCACCCACAGTGATTACTAACTCAAAAGTCACTGAAGATATCTTTTGTCTGGTTCACTAAATAAAATGTTCCAAAGGCACTCCACTAAGCTTATGACCAGTGGAGGTATAGCCAAAAAGAAAGCCATCACAGCTAGAATTCCTGATTTGCCACTTGTGATCCTACTTGTGTTAGTTTTAATTCCTCCTCAGTAAACAGAGGACATGTGTTCTACCTTACTGAATATCTGAAACTCTGAGGTCATTAAATCAGAAAGTCAAGATATACCTTACTTTAAAGAGGATGTTAAAATTATTCTACAGAAGCAAACAAACACAATAAACACTTTAAAAAAAATCTAAACTTTGATCAATTAGGTTTTATACAAAGTCTCAACAACAAATTAAAAAAAAAAAGTCACAAGCAAAGGATGATTCCAGCGTAAAATGATATGTGACCGCAGTCACCAATACTGAAGAACTACACACTTATTCTCCTCCCAGAGAGGGACAACGTTTGTAGTTTAACTATTATAACTGAGTAGCACATTTTGTGCAGTGGATGGTTATTTTATTTTGATCTTTAGAGCAGGAAATAAATCTTGACATAAATACCATAACATTTTCAACAAATTCTAGTGTTTCAACATCAGAAACATGGCAAAACAGCTGATGTCAAATGCCATATGCTCTGGTTCACATTGTTCATTGCGGCCAGACCTGAAATAGGATCCGATAACAGATGGGCTTGCAGGGTAGATGATTCAGTTTTTACTTATCAAGATCTATGTTTATCAGATTAACTGTTCACGATAAAGCACCCTCCTCCTCCCAATGGTTCCATTTACTCCTGGTGTCTCCATCACCTTGCTTTTTACAAAGGACTTTCAGATATAAAAGTCCCCAGAGCATTTGGAAACGTTACCTTTTCTGAGAGAAACTACTCGAAGTATTTGTTCCTAAACATGTTTCGTGCATATTCTGGAGTCAGCTCTCAAGTCAACTCTTTGAAAACATGAGTTTAGGATTTTAGGTTAATCTAACAGCGGGGCCACATGAGGTGTGAGATACTGTTATTAGCAAAGCGGGTACACTTGACACCATTTCTGAGTCCGAGTAATTTTGAAGACAGCCCCTCTGGGGGATGGCACACACTTTTCTCTCTGTAGTCATTTCAGCATCCCAGAACACCTCAAGAGGCAGAGCGAACACCGGGCCCCCCCTTTTCCAGGAGCTGCAGGTAAAGAACTCCGCGGAGCTCACGGGTTTGGAGCGGAGTCCCCTGCAGAAGGAGGGTCCGCCGAACCTGGGATCCCCTGCGAGCAGCTCTCAGACTTCTCAGAGAGCAAGGCCCGGAGGGAACACAGTGAGAGGTGATTCTAACCTGAGAGGCCGCGGACACTTGCTACGGCAGGCACCAGCTTAGTGGCTGACAGTAACCAAGGCATGACCACCGGGCTCACGCGTCCGGAAGAGAAGGAAAACTCGTCGGAGAAGCGACGCCGGCGAGACCGTGTCGCCAGGAAACGCGGCCACAGCCCCGCCCCTTCCGGCCGGCGCGCCCGCCAGGCTTTCCTCCCACGGCGGCGCACAACATGACGTCACGGCCAGAGCGGAGCGCGCCGCTGGGCCTGCCGGTATGGCGGCGTCCCGGCCTCGCGGCCTGAAGGGGCGGCTCCTTGCAGGGGGTAGTCCCTCCCGATTCCTTGAAAGCACCACATAAAGCGGTCGGCCCCTCCAGAGAACTGGGTCAGAGCTAAGAGAAAATGGTCTCAATGTGAGGCTCAGGAAAGACTGAAAATGAAAGCCCTCAAGCAGCCATTAGGAAATCACAAAAACATTCACGTAAGCATGTTTACGCGCACCGATGCACAGAGAGGCAGGCATCGGTGTGAACAGCCGCACTTCTAGAAGGTTCTACAGTGCGCAGGAGCGCAGGGAGAGGCGACGGCCCGAGGGAGCGAAGGACCCTGGGTCACGAGACCGTTGGGTGGGCGGGGCCAGCGGCCGGGCTGCTCTGGTCTGTTCGGCCTCGCGGCAGCCGCCCCCTTCGCTTGGTCACGCCGCGCTCGCCCCGGGCTTGGAATCGGGCCCCGCCGCCCCCGGCCATGGACCCCCGCAAAGTCAGCGAGCTCCGGGCCTTCGTAAAAATGTGTCAGCAGGACCCGAGCGTCCTGCACACCGAGGAAATGCGCTTCCTGAGGGACTGGGTGGAGAGCATGGGGGGTAAAATACCACCTGCTACTCATAAAACTAAATCAGAAGAAAATGTCAAGGAAGAAAAAACAGGTAGTAACAAGGCGGAGGAAAACATAAAGACAGAGGAGCCACCAAGTGAAGAAAGCGACCTAGAAATTGACAATGAAGGTGTGATTGAACCAGACACTGATGCCCCTCAAGAAATGGGAGATGAAAATGTAGAGATAACAGAGGAGATGATGGATCAGGCAAATGAGAAAAAAGTGGCTGCCATTGATGCCCTAAATGATGGTGAGTTACAGAAAGCCATTGACTTGTTCACAGACGCCATCAAGCTGAATCCTCGCTTGGCCATTCTGTATGCAAAGAGAGCCAGTGTCTTCATCAAATTACAGAGGCCAAATGCTGCCATCCGGGACTGTGACAGAGCTATTGAAATAAATCCTGATTCAGCTCAACCTTACAAGTG